GGTCTATGAATTAATTCACATATAGTTATTTCTTTTCTTCTTAGGATTATTGATACGATAGCCCCTTTATACTGAAATTCTGATTCCAAAACATAAGGCAGATTCATCATTGAGTTCCATAGTTTATTCTTCATAAAATCAGTATAAACTTAATAAGAAAGAAAATAACTAATATTATCCCAATCTCTTAATTAAGGTAAGTGTAAAACATAATACATCCAATCAATTTAACAAAGTTAATTAAGTAACCTCTGCTAATGAAGCGTTTAACCTAACTAGCCTGATTTCATTATTATCTAATTAGAGGAATTTGGGCGAAAATTCAGCACAGAAAAAAATAAAATAATTTTCTTAAAAAAGAATCTCCGCGTCTAAATTAACTCCATTCCTATACCTCATCTTGAAAATTTAATATAAGGCAACAGCACGATAAAGCAAGGAGTTTCATTATTAACGATTTAATTAAAATTCTGGTATATTGGCTTGGCGTGGGTACGTAGTTTTGTTATTTATATATTATGTAGATAGACAGATGTATTAAACCAAGCAGTTTTAGTAAATTAATCTTTCAAGAGCGGTTTATAATGTCTCTTAATTAGTCATTAAATTTGACATTTGATATGACCTTCGTGTTATCATGAAAAGATACTTTTTGGTAGGATAGGGTAACAAACGAGCCAGAGAACCAATCAACTGAAGGTAAGCAATTCACGGCAAGACAAAAAAGAAAAACGTAATTGAGTAGCCGGCTTTTTGAAATTAAAGCTGATTCTAAGTGGAGATTTTTGAGACAATTATGTAGCACTAGCTTTTGCCCGCAAGCCCGATCGTGTAGAATAGTGACTTCCTGCAGTTTTTTTATATAAAAACTATCCTATGTCCTTTTTCGAGTTCCAAACTATATCTGTACCAAATTTTACAGAAATCGGTTCAGTAGTTTAGGCGTGAAGAAAAGCCATACAGATAGATAGACCGAGTTACTTTCGTATTTATAATATTTCTACAGATATAGATATAGATAATGCATATTCACAAATCCCCTGCCAACCTTACATTAATAATACACAAAAAAAATTACAGCCGGGATGTGATTTATGATGTTACAAAAGTGCTTAGTTTAAATTAAGAAGTCTGAACTTTAAAGAGCTGAGTGGAGATGTCAAGAATTCTGTCAACTATTATTGATACTCAGAATTCAGAAAGCCTAAAGTAAAATCTCGATATTCGAACTCGAATAATAATGCTCCTAAAGTTAGAAGACTGAAATAATAATGCTCCTACAATTCGAAGCATTGCATAAAAAATATTACAACGATTATAGCAAGATTCAACGTTAATGCAAATCAGTATAATTTAAAAACTTTAAGCTGAAGAAACTTAATTCAATTGCAAATGTTTATAATCTTAAGCTTCATCGGAGCTCGCCGTTACGCGTCGCCAGGGAAATGCAGATGAAGGGGTTACAAAAAGTGGTCATAAGCCACTGTCGAGGAATGGACGTTGCAAATTCAGAAGTCAACCAACTAACCAGCCGGGTTTGTGGATGCAAGTGTAATAAGCGGCTTTAGCCCAGATCAGGAGAAGGAATGGGTGGTTTGAAGACAGTAAGGGTGTGTCAATCTCTCGCCCCACCCATTGCGGGAGACTGAAGTCATTTGATGATTTTCCCCTGAAAAAACATGTCCTAAAAAAATCGGTTAAAATTTTAGCTTCGCTTTATTTATTTCCCTTACATTTTCAAAAATACTTCGAAAAGATGTCTATTGCGTTTCTTTAATATAAAACTTACACGCACGTTACAAATGGAACAATGACAATTGCAATTAAAGTACACAAGGGGGCCATACTTTGACACGAATAGGCCAGCTTGACCGCAATCTAACCGCTCCCACATCCCCAATTTCACAATTTTAAAAATCTTATCCAAACCCCCAAAAGATGCTTTTATCACTTTTTCTGGTGTTCATGGGCGGCGTCTATTGCTCACCATAACCAGACTATATAGCTATAATCAGACTGGTCGTTTTGCTACCCTATTATAATTCCATAGGAAAAATATTGTGTGTATCTTCAGCTTTCAAGGAGATAAAAGACTTAATGTGAATTTATTACGCTCTTAACTTTCATCTAAGCTAAGTCGCTAGTGAATTGCAGATGAGAGGGGTTTATTATAAAAGGATTTCTCATGACTGTGCCGGACAGTGGAAATGTTGTAGGGACAGTTTCACTCCCAATCGAGATGAAATTTGCATTTTGCGTGCTGAAGTCCCCGCGAGCCGGCTGATTTAAATAGAGCGGTGGTGCTGTGTGGTACAAGTGCATTCGAGAAGAGCTTATGAGTACCTATTAGTAAGTAGTTTTGGATTAAAACAACTCATATCCTTGACTTTTCAATTGTATCTATATATATGTAACTTAGAGTATAGTATTAAAACCAAAGTGATATCCAGTCAGCCTTTACTAATTGCATTTTCATTTTAACAACATATTCTAATTTACACCTTTGAGTAAAGTAATAAAACAACAGTTATATCCAGTCAGCCTTTTTATTCATTACATTTTTATTTTACCAACATAAATACTATAATTTATATTTAGTTTCAGTGCACCTAAAATTCCACGATATTCCTCTCTATAAATGAATCATTTATTTTAATACATAGGTACTATTTTTAGATAAGGGCGTCAGTACAGGACTTTTACACAGATTGATTTTAAATATTAAACACATTTTTGCGATTTCCTTAATTGGTTTGTAAGTAATTGTCTGGTGTTTGGCAACTATCACCTGGTTTACTACCAGGTGACGTAATGATGCGACCTACAATCGAGCACGTCTACACATAAGCAACCTATTTACTCGGGCTTCGACCCAGGTTTTATTAAAATAAAATAAATTATTATCATAGAAAAACGCAACCCCTTATCACTCACACCGGTTATCAGCACGTAACAGCTGCTCAAGCCACCACTATCGAACCATGGAACACCTTTCTAATGCTAATAGAAATTCTCGGACGTTGCCAGACAATGTGCCTACATTCAAATATCTACCTATACGTGTACAAGTAAGATTGAACTTTGAATACAGTTAAAAATTACTATGCATTTCTATACAGTATTAAACTATATAGAATTTTCGTATGTAGAATAGTTTAAGAGTCCTAGTTCGAATTACAGAGTGAGTTTCTAAATTTCCAAAAACTGGCTGTTTCTGGCTGGTGAATTGTAGGTCAACATTTTTTGAAAAAGCAGACAAGTTGTTGGGTTAACTTATAATACTAACAGATTTCCTAACGCGTACGTATACCTAATATGTTAGGAAAACTGTTCGTATTTATATAAAAAGTGGCCTTAGTGGTGGAATGACATGTTGAAAATAATAGGTAACAAGTGCATTAACTGTGAAAAGCTCTACCAGTTACAAGCCACAACGGGACTCTTATACATGAGCAACGTGCGCTTCGAAAGTGGTCGTGCAATATTTAAAAACAAAAAAACATGGCTGCCGCTCTCCCCAATGTTGACGCACGTGCCTGCACATATTGGCACTTCAATTCACAAGGCAATAACCACGAACTTTGCCTTCAAACAAACGAACCCATCTAAATTCTAGTCCAATCTTCAAACGCATAAAATTACTCGATCCGTCCTCAATTCCCAAATATAGTTAGTTCATCGTACATTGCAATCCTTGGTTTCGAGTCCGGATCCCTGGCAATACATCAACTCTGTGTGAGCGACGAAAACTATTCACACATTCGTCATAGCGATTTATGACACAGAAGTGTTGTTCGTAAATCTTATGAGAGTATTTTCCAGTAGTTGTATTAACAAGAAATGAATTAATTACAAGTTTATCAACTAGTTAAGATTTCTCTCTTAATCTTGATGATTATTAGCATTCTGTAGTTGTTGTTGACGTAGTTAATTTAATTATTTAATCGATAATTTATTACCAATATTTTTTTATTTGCAGAACAAAAATCTCCCGTCATGGTGCTGATTCCAGAAAGAATTTACTCTTAGTTACTAGAAATAGGGTTGAACAATATGTCATTGTGGCCTGATCAAAACGGGCAGCCGCGGCACGTAATTGCGCCCGCACTCGCAACCCTACCTGGAAATAAACAAACCTATAACACCTATCAACACAATCATTACCAGCAGAACTCCGAAACCCAACCTTATCATTGTTTTAATTACAATACAACTTGATATATTCATCGCCTTATAAAACAATACTCCACATAAATTACATGACTGCATTGCGTCAAGATGAATTTGGCTAAATGATTAAAGGTGATATATTTTGGACTTTCTGTCATCGTGATAAGGTAGTACGAACTGCAAAGACAATGTTGTCAAAGCACCTTACCGCAGGTTCCTCACGTAGGTGACGGACAACGAATCCAGAATACAAAATCGGAGTTGGCACTGTAACCAGAGATAATGACTGGCCATGGAGCTTATGGAGATAGGGAGAAACAAAAGATTTTGTTTTGCAGAATTTTAATGTTATAATGCAAAAAAGATTGTAGATATGAAAATGACTTTTGTAGAATGGGAATAAAATATATATAAGTCAGTAGCAAAATTGTTTTTAGTAAGGAATACTTTGAAATTCTGTAAATTTATTTAGATGTCAAAAGGAGGAATCGTTTGTATTTTTCCCAAAAAAGTATTTATAATATTTATATGTATATGTATATGTATTAATAAAACACTAGTTTAAAGTACATAAATATGTAACTCAATCCCATATCAAGTGTGAACTTGCAAAATCATTTTTTTATACTACTTGACTGGTTATATTATTTGCCAAGTAAATAATATGATTTGTAGAAAAAGAAACAACAAACCCTATACTTTTGTATAAGATCCATTGATTTAGATACGGTTTTTGAATAGCTGGTGATTATCGGCCTGTTTATGTGTATAATAACATCAATTAAATAGTGGAGAAATTTAGTATCAGTATGAGTTAATAAAACAAAATAATCATTCAATCAATTTATTGCTTACTAAACTAAATAAAAATTCCACGTGCTTATTGAAAACTATTTGCTTAATAATTATTATTACAACATTTACATATCAAATCCGTTTTTTCGCCAGAACAGTCAAGTCAGTGAGAGATTCTATACAGTCAGTAAAATCGAATGTTTTAGAAGACAACGTAGGTAGGTTCAGTGGCAACACCACAGATGTTGTCCCTAGAAGAAATGTACATGTAGCCTCCAATACCCCATTGAGGGCCCCATGAGTTCTTCAGGATCCAGAAGGTGTCCCCATCACGTTCTCCGTAACCGACCAAGGTCACCTCGTGGTTCAGATGGAGCTGGTTGCTGGATTAAGAAAATTGGAAGATTAATAGCTGGATTTCTCTTGAATATATGTTGTGTACCACCCTAAATCTTCTTGTGGGAGCTGACTTAGACACTACTGATATGGCAAAGACCTAGCTGCAGCTCTCTTCTATTTAAATTTAATTTTATATGATAGGGCGGCAAACGAACCAATAGATTACCTGATGGTAAACAATCGGCTTTTGGCTTTTCGATAAACCTGAGCCTTTTAAACTACAATTTAAAGAGCCTAACATTTGTAAAGATTATGAAAAATTCTCTAAATTTATCCAGCCAGAAAGAAAGACCAGCAGGGAACCAAATATTAAGGGAATCTTACCATTCAGTATCGTAGAATATTCCAGAAGAGTACTTGGAGAATGTCTCGGTTACGTGTACTGACACGGACAGAGGACCGTGGTTGACTAGAGCGACCTGAAACCAAATTAGCATATTTAAAGCACCCTGCAAACTAATAGTATTGTTTTAAAAATAGAACAAACCCGATTGTTTCGTTCATAGTTCGGAGATTGATCCTTAATTTTTTTTTCTTTATATCATCTGTCGGCACACGAGCAGACGGATTACCTTGTAGTCAGCAATCAGCGCCGGCCATGTAGACTTCTAAAGTGGTAACACCAAAGGAGTTACAAGTGCGTTGCCGTCCTCTTGTGGGTTATTAGAGATTTAAAGATAGGGAATTTGAGGATTGAGAATGGGGGAAGGGTTAAGTCTGCGGTACCGTCACTCACATGGCGAAATTTGAAACCTCTTATCTATGACACCTACTAAATAAGCGTATATGAGTTTTACATTTAACACGGTGTAGTGTATCTTCGCAAAGTCTTTCAACGAAGAAGTTTTTAACCACTAGACCAACTAAGCAGTCCAAATATGCATTTCATTTTACCTATTGCATAGTATAGAATACAAGTGTGGCAGAGCCATGATTCACCACGAACGGGCCGACTCAACCGGAGTGAAATCACGGGCCCATGAGCTCAACGCTGTGGTTGTTTTACGCCAGTTTTCTGTAAGGCTGTGGTAATAGTCGAGCCAGCCTATTCGAGCTGTGGCATTTAAACCACAGCACTAAAAACTTGTATTGTCTTGCGGGTGTGCATGCGATTGCTTACCATCAGCTGAGCCGTCTGCTTCTTTATACTCCTATCTCATTAGAAAACAATGTCTTGAATATGCTAGGAAAATCGAGAATATTCTGGGTGTAATTAATTAAGCTCAATGACACTGGAAGTCGGTTATTTAACGTCAACGGGTCCCACAAGGAAATTAATTAGAAAAAGAACATTAGAGGAAGATAAGTAATCAGGTTAATAGTTACTCTGATTATATCGCCAGGAAATTTCCTCCGAGATAAGATTTTTTTAATGGTTATTGTTTTCATAAAACAGCTTTGTTGGTTGAGTGGTCGTAAGATGAATTGCCCAGCTAAGATCTGAAGTTCGATTCCCGAGTCAGGAGCCTCGTTAGTCGAATTTCCAAGCAAGGATCTCAAGTTCGATCCCCGAGTCTGGGGCCAATAGGATTTTGAGAAGTGGTCTGAATTGTGATTTCCTAGTAGATTTGGAGTTGTTAGTTTAATATGACGAGAATCACAAGATATTAAAAAGCATCCAAAATCTACTTTAATAACATCATCTCAACATAATTCATAAGCTTAATAAAACAGAGGCCAAACTGGGAAAAGAAGGCATTTAATCTTAAAAAAAAATTCAATGGAAGGCTCAATATTCAAATATTCTCATAAAAGAGTTAGTTTTGTTTCTTATTAAATATGCGAATTATTCAAAACAAAAAGGTTTTATGTCTAGCAAGAAAAATACAATGTTACTTTTTCAGCCATTACTTTAAACTATTTACTTAAAGGGATGTTTTTACAATTTACAACGTAGCGATAGGACGGCAAACGCTCAGAGCTGACACTAAGAACTGGGTCATCAGTTTTTTACTAAGGCCTTCTAAAGCAATGGCTTTTCCTTGTATATTTCTACTCCACTGGCGAACAACTGAATAAAGAGTTCGAAATTCTATATAATAAGTTTATATGTGTATATATTGTCGGTCCATACATCCATTGAAGTAAACAGAAGAATAAGTAAGTAAGATCATTGGATTTTTATTATTATTATTGACAGTTTTGGTTTTTTCTCATGCGCGGTGATAGGTTTCATAGAAGTGACTATAAACTTAACTATTCCCTTATAATCAACATTCTTGCATTTTTTATAAAAATAAAAAAATGAGTATGTTTTGGCGACCAAGTCGTCTATTTTTTTGGCCTATGCTTGGCTAATATCACTGTTCAGTTCGAGAAATTAAATTGTTACAAATTAATGTCTATCAGCACTATAATATGAACAGCTCTACCTAAGCTGCATCATCATCATCAGCCAGAAGACGTCTACTGGTAGACAAAGGCTTAGACTCCCCCTAGCTAGTAATCCACATGGAACGAAGGCTATGAAGAATAAATTGAGAAAAGGTAAAGAAAGTGACAAAAGGAGATATATTTTTTACTTTTAATTTGGCCAGTTCTTAAATCTTACCTTCAAAGCTCCAACGCTCAAAGGTGTAACATCGACGTATCCTCGAATCGGGTATGTGGTTGTCATATTTTTAATATTGCACTCTCCATCCTGTTGAAATGAGAAAAATTATATTTTATTTACGGTAAAACGAAAATGTAGCCTTCAGTCAAATGTAGTCTTAATTAGTAGATATAAATATTTAATATTTAAGTCTTAATTCAATGAGTAAACTTCAAATATTAACATGGTTTCCAATTCCATTAAGTTGAAACACGACACCTAGACAAAAACAATAAAATCTGAGCATACAACTACAACTCAATTTTGCGATAGAAGTTTGTTCACAATAAAATTATTGCAAAGCAGCCATTGTCAACCAAAAACTACAAATGGTAGATATTACAAAATAGGAACAGCACCGAAGTTCCATTTCACACGGAATAAGACTGAAAGCTTTTTTATACCATGTAACCTACCTCAAAAGGTATAATCTGTTCATTCATACGATTTATTATAATTATATCTATACGACGGTGTTTAAACAAATCTCAAACCAATATTCAAATAGTCACCAGCTTAAGTTATTATCAAATGTAAATTAAGGTACCTGAGGTAAATTAGTTAAATTACACTTTGAGGTGACATCCGATAACGATCATGTCGTTTCAAGTAATCAAATTGTATGTAAAAAAGAGTAAAGAATGACTCTTCTGTCTTTACTTTACTATGTACCTTGTTAGTGTATGGACCATATTCTGCTTCAGTCGGCAGACCGTACTCCATCATCCACTCGTAGGCCGCGTTGTCAGTACCGCCATCACAGCCCGCGGCACCGAAACTGTACATTATGCATACTTGTTAAACATTACGACATTCCAGACAGCCAGGCGAAGTATGTAACAGAAAATATAGGGGTATTTCCAAAAATATCGTGTTGATACAAATACTTATGAAGGAAATTTCTGTTTTGTTCTCGTTTTTAATCAAAAATAAGGTCTGATAAGAAAGAGGACATATAATGGGCAAAATAAACTATTTTCTACACCTCCAATTATCTACATTTATAAGGTGAAAATTAAAAACTCAATGTAGAGGTACTGCCAAGGTAATGTTCGGAAATCGGATGAAATTAAAATATTTTTATTTTTGAAAAATGATGATGATGAAACTATACTACAGTAATTAACTGATGAATCCATTTAATACGTACGCCCAAACACAATCTACAAGAGCCTGGTTGGCGAGTGCCATGAGCTTGCCACCGTTGATTCGTGCCAAAGCACCTTCAACAGCAGCTGTCGTTCCGAAAGTCCAGCAGGAACCACAGTCTTCTTGGTCTGCGGAAAAAAGGTTACGTAGTCAGTTTTAATATTTCACGAATCATTGTAAAGTGCCAAGAGGATTTCGATTTCTTTAAGGAGTTCCTTATATCAATGCTAAGATCTGATTTCATCATCAGACTGATGGTGTCTCAATATCACTTACTTTTAACGTGTGAAACAAGACCGAGAAGCCTCGTGTCGTATTCTTTGGGGACGTCTTCAGAGAGTTCGTTCAGTTTTTCTTCAGTGTACGGGAAAGGTACGTTTCCAGATTTGCCTTCAGGACGCTTCAGCAGACCCATGTACCTGGTCATTTCTTCGGGAGTCTTATCAGCGAATTGGTTGATAGCCAGTTTGTAACCTTTGTTCTGACGGTTGTGTTGGATGACTTGTCTGTAAATAAAGTTATATGAAAAGTCATGTGTATGCTCAAAATAAGCTTACTTTTCCATGGAGCTTGCATTTTCTATGACCAGTTAAAAAAATAATATTATGAATAAAAAATATTTAGAACAATGTTCCATTTAAAAAAATCGCCGAGTCGGACAATGGTGTCCGACGCTAGCGGAGGGTTAGACTTCAACAGTTTTTGTCGGCAGTCAAATGCTTAACTTGTGAAATAAGTGTTTGAATATAGCAGAAACCAAGGGATACCAAATAGGTTCTTAAAGATCATAAAATGTGGACTAGCAATTTATTAATGGCAACGCTAATGTTAAGAAGAACTCACCTCATACTCTTCTTGAAGATATTCTTCCTCATAGCATGTTCATCGGCGTCATACTTCCTGTCATAAGTTCCGATGAATCTATAAACAAAAAAAATATTTTATTCTGTAGAAATTTCGTCTACATATCATTTTCTTCTGCTTTGTCCAATTGCATTTGCTATTCTATGAAGTGTTTCGAAACATTCTGCATGTTATTTATGTTTTTAAAACCACCAGATGGTTGTCCCGTTCCTTGAAGAATTGTTAAACCTCTCTGATGGTACTAAATAACAAATAAACTTACGACTTGAAAGCATGGTCAACATGTTCGTCATTTTCAGAGTCGAGGAACAAAAGTCTCTTGGTGACAGCTTCACTGTCGATCGTGTGTTCTTCAGGGCTAGTGCAACCAACTGAAAGTCGAAAAACAGTTTTAATTATCTAATGCATTAGTTATAATGGGATTATTATTTTATTTTTTTCAGCCTCCTGGTCATTTATTTTTTCATAAAATCTTTTCTCAGTCAGAAACGGGTCGATACAAAATTTCCAATTGATTCAAATTAACATCAATACTATTGCTCTACTCTATGATTACAAATCATGGGGAGCTCATACTAATACAATATGAAGTTGTGAAGCTAATTTAACACACTTTTCTGCTACATTTAGATGAAACTATTTATAAAAAATAGGTTTCACATGCACTTCAGCTTCTTATTGAGGAAGAAATTGTGATATTGTGTAACGACGATGCAGAAAAATCTATAAAATTTATACTCACAGTCTTCAGTGTCAAAGACACTGCGGAAAGAGAAGTCCTTGCTGTAGTCGTAGAAGTCCCAGATTTCGTGTTTGTCCTTAGATCCCAACCAGGAGTTGAATTCCAGAACCTCGTATCTGCAAATAAAGACTATAGTATGAGAATAGATCCCTGTGAAACACTAGACTGTGCTCAATTTTATTTAAATAGCTTTTCTATTTTAATTTCTATTAGAAAGAAAACAGAACAAGATAAATTTGTATACCTTTGATATTATCCAAGTAGGGACAACTGATACATTTTGTTTTTTAATTTTCTATTCTGTCACAAATAACGGTAAATTATAATATTCTCTGTAAATTGAACATCTGATGATATAAAATGTTATGTTGAATTCTTACCTTACAGGGACCCAAGCTTCATCAGCTTGATCATAGGTAGCCCACAATGTGCTCCTAGTGTCGGTGCTCTCATCTTTGTGGTCGAACACGAACTTGGTGCATTCTTTGTCATTCATAACTTCATCAACTGTGTACCGAAAAAATGACAGTGATAAATCTACGGCGAGAAGTATTTCATTATATTCGCCTGTTATCCTCTCTAAAGTTAACCGTAGTCTAGTAGGGCTACACAATTCTAGGACTAGTAGTAGTTGCTGAGATGTTTCAATTTCATAAAATCCACTTCCCGTCTCATTTTTATATAGCTTTAGTGTGGGAGAGCCGAGCTTCGGCACGAATGGGTCGGCTCGACCGGAGTGATGGCCTCACAGAAAACCGGCGTGAAGAAACCACGGCGTTGTGTTTTGCCTTGTGAGTGAGGTTATCGAAGGTGCAATTCTTACCCTCCCCCTAACTCTAATCCCCAAAAGGTTGGCAACGTACTCGTATCTCTTCCGTTGTATTGCTTGCCATCAGGTAATCCATCAGCTCGTTTGCCATCTAATCACATGAAAAAAACGCTTTAGTGTCTAACTACAAATTGTAACCGACTCTAGGAGTATAACAGGCCTAATATTATGTAATGTTATTTGAATTCGCTTACCTTCAGGTTCAAACCCATCGACTTCAGGTAGGATAGTTTCAGGCGAAATACGGCGGTACCTGCTTCCTCCCATGGCAATACAGACATTGTCTACATCTTGGTCCAATGTTGCTTCTGGGTGAATCTGCGATGAAAATATACCATTATATTGTTTTGTGATATTGCTCAAGTCCCAATTTTAAATCCTATTGTACTATAACTAGATTGTAGGCGTTGTTGTTATTCTTAAAATATACCTAGGTAATTTTACGTAATGAGCAATAGACCATGAATTCGTAGAATTTTTACTCATGCCATGTTTGTTAATTCATACAGCCACTGCGCCGTGTGGTACGCAGTGGCACCCAGGGAAATTGAAATACATTTATACATACTTAAATATTTCCCAAAACCAGCGCAATCTGCACGTCGATTCTATAAAATTTGTTTAATTTTGAATCGTGTTCGAGTGCGAAGTGAGCGTCGAAGTGACGGGGAAATTAAATTTTAGAATGTCACTTTTAACGTCATCTCCACGGAATAAATTTTCTGTTCTGTGGTCATCTCATACTTTATCTATCAAAATGTTGCTGTCAATTTAGTTCAACTCGCAAGTGTAACGCTAGTGTACTACTACTCACAGCGGATTCAGATTCGAAATTTAGAATGAAGTCTTACAGAATCACACTGCTGGTTCTATAACTTACGCAAACTGTATATTTTTGATCTCATTCATATTTCAAAATAAAGTGCAGAATATTTCCTCACTTATAAAACCTTTTTTTACCTCAAATTTGACTCCGTATTTGAAGTCCTTGGACTTGGCTTTCACAAAAGACTTAACGTAGCCGTTGTTGTAGTCGATCCTTGATTGCTTGGAGGTTCTCCTAAACCACAAAAACAACAAATTACTGTATATCATACAAAATTACTACCTTTACAATTCAATAATAGATTAGATACCTCAGAAATGAGCTTGATTTAAAAGTGTCATTTACGAGTATAAGGTATATTTTCCCTATTTCATTTCATTTCAGAAATTGCGCAGGTATTGCAGTGGTTAGGAAAACAACTGCTGCTGCACAAAGAGTCGCAGATTATATTCCCACAATATGCGCAATGACCGTGTTTATTTACGATGTGTATTTACGTTTTTTTGTTTATTTTTCTTTCTTCTATATTTCTTTAGGAGACACGAAAACATGAGGAATAAATAATTAGTATTGGTAGTGGTATCTAAAAGTCTCTCACCAGATAGAATAGTCTTCAATGACATTGTCTGTCAGCGACATCCTTTTCGCCTTCAGTGTGTACTGAGAAGGCCATTCGAGTTCTTGGTCTTCATCGCCTTTTACAGCCTTCGCCTTTTTCACTGTAAGGAAACACGTAACTTTATATGCTTATCCCTGGATGAGAAAATGACACTATGCATATTATTTCTGCGTGTATAACGGTAACAGTATTGTATTTAAAAATATAAAACATCAATTTCGCATCTGTTATTTTTTGATCGAGCTACCGAGTACCTCGAGTATGTCTCTGTTATTTAGATATACCCACGAATTGGACATGTTCAGTGACCTATGATTGTAATCCTATTTTTATAGACTCTAAACAATGGGACAACAGCGTTAGCAAGTTTATTTGTATAAACTGTATTATAGTCAAATTCTAACTAGGTATATGTATGCAGAATTTAACTGAAATAAGTTTAGATATAGCTGGTTGCTGCGCCGTTTTGTGAATCACATACGGAACAATTCTTCGTGTGATTCACAAATCCTAGGGTTCGGGAGTAATGTGTATGTGAAATGTTAGTAGGTAAAAGCACACAACTTTTTTTTTTCAAATGCTACTCACCACTCAACGCGTGTGTGGCTACCACCAACCCAAGCATCAACCACACGAACTTCGCCATTTTGTCGGCCTGGTCCCCTGACTACCAATACACTAAAATATATATCTAGTGTTTCAGCTATTTATTTATTCAGATTGTACTAATTAATGATACTGATTAGTACTGTGTGATAAGGCAACAATATCAATACATAATGTGGATATTCTAAACGTAGGTACTAATTTGTTTTAACTATTTGCGAATGTACGTTTTTATCCAGAAATATTAGCCTTGCAAAAAACAGGGTCATTTTTAAAGATTTGGCATAAAATTGTACCTATGTTATGTGTCTTGTTTATTGTCTATAAGTACAAGCTTTACTTAAAGTAGCTCATCCTTAAAGTTAAACTGCGAGAGTTAGACAAGACTGAACGGCGAATAGTAAATTGAAAATCCTATAAATAAAGTATTTTGAAACTGAAAATATATATAAACAAATCCCAGTTTTTCATGTATATTCAATGAAAAACCAGATCGTATCCATATAAATCAAACAATCGAAAAAAAAAGAACTAATGAATTTGGTAAAACTGATTTCTATTAATGACCTAATTATATAGTTTTCAATTCGATTATTTTTATATCGATATATCTCAACTTTAATTAATCAAGGACACATTACGCTGGTAGTTGCTAACGCAAATTTTTATTCCGGGAAAAAATTGAATAGTTTTATTTATTGGATATATCATACATTTATACTCAGATATGCAGATTCTCAAGACTAAAGGAGTACTACAAGTGAGTTGTCCATCCGCTGTGGGTTATTTAGGATATAAGGTTGTAAAATTTGGGGATTCAGATCGGAGGGAAGGATCAGGCCTCCGGTATCCTCACTCACACGACGAAACTCAGCGTAAGGTTACACGCCAGTTTTCAGTGGGCAGTCGTGGTATCACTCCGGTCGTACCAATCCATTCTCAAGGAAGCATCGCTCTCCCACTCTAAGTTTAAAAATTTGACTTCCATAAAAACGGTATTAAGTAAAAACCTAGCTTCGGTAGTACTTAGTTTAAAATTATGAAAAAAAGGATTCATCATCTATATTATCTATACTCGTACTAATATTATAAATGCGAAAGTAACTCTTTCTGTCTGTCTGTGAAATTTGGTACAGACATAGTTTGCAACTCGAGAAAGGACATAGGATAGTTTTATACCAAAAATCTGCGGGAAGTCATTATTCAACGCGAATGGAGTTGCGGGCAAAAGCTAGTACATTGCTTAGGAGCAAGAGGTGTCAAGTTAAAGCCCTGAGTCGGCCAAAGTATTATACATAATTTACCATTGTTTCAAAATATTCAACATATAAAATATCAATCAAAAATTCACTTTATTTTGAGCGGCTTATAAGTTAAACTCCAACACAACTACCACAGTTGCCTAAAAAAATTTTGAATGCTTGTGTAACAACAATATCATTACACGTCATAAGCAGTTTTTGCAACCAATTCGCTCATCCCGCAACCCAATCACGTCAGATTGTTTCTCACGCTGGTCTGAAGGCTTCTGGTTCTTCTAGTTACCGTCTTGGTGAAACTGGATGGTGGACCAATTATTTGTACGTGTATAACGGCCGGACCTTTTCGCGCGAAAGAGAATGCAGTCAGAATCTGGATGGTACCTATTGGAACGTTACTCGATAATGCTGTGAAAGGTTCATAATTTTAGTTTAGATTTTTAGTATTATTTTATGTTCTTCTTTTTTTGTATTTTTGTTTTCTGTGTGTGCGCTTGCGCGAGATAAATGTTTTTCTTTCTTCTTTCTTTCTTCTTCTAATTGTATTCTTGCTAGTTCTCAGCATTTAGAATTTAGGTAAGTTGATAGATATTTTTCCTATATGAGATGTATTCTTATTTATTCACATACAAATTTATCATCCAGGAGTCACAGGTACAAAAAGTCAAATTTATAATTTAACTTCAATTCAACCGTTAACATACATCTTGGATACCACCTTTAAATATCATGCTTAGTTAATTGTGGAAGAGCCATGTTTCATCTTCACTGGAGTGATACCACGGCCTCGTAAAAAACCGGCGTGAAACAACTACAAAGTTGCGTTCCGCCATGTGAGTGAGATTACCGAAGGCCCAATCTTTCTTGCACCTCCCCTTCTCCCCATTCTTAATCCCGAAATCCCCTATCCTTAAATCCCTAACCATATCTCACAAAGGCCGGCAAAGTACTTGTAACTCCTTCAGTATAACGAATGCCCATGGGCTACGTCGATTGCTTACCATCAGGTAAACAGATTACATCGTAGAATCGAGGCTGTCAGACGAGTTAGAAATACTATCAAAGATACAACTCCCAATTGTTGATTACTTCATATCGTTTACTGCCTTTCATTCATTAGTAATGAATATAGCTAAGGACCGTCAAACGGCTGAAAACATTTGCCTTCGTCTTAGTAAAGTTTCAAACATAACGCTTAAAGTACTTTCTTCTTATCATTTTCAATTTAATCGCTTGCCAAACGGACAATTAATTTAAATCTTTAATATGAATAGTAGTTGGCTATAAGTAATGGAAGATATTGGTACCTTATCTGATCCGATACAGTGCCAGGCATTGGGAAAGTAGGAGTAGCAACATTTTAACTATTCGTATCGTACTTTCACCGCGTGATAGCGGTCAGTTGAGTTCGCACTTTGCTAGCTATAAATTATTACACTAGATCAGGGATGGCGAACCTTTAGCGTACGACGTATCATTTTTAAGCTGCGTGAAAAACTGTTTAGTATTTTTTTGATACCAGTATTTTTTTATGTAATAGGTCGGCAAACGGGCAGACGGATTACCTGATGGTAAGCAATCAGCGCCGCCCATGGACACCCGCAACGGAGGAGTTGTTTGTGCGGTGCCGACCTTTAAGGGATTAGGGATTTGGAGATTTAGGAACTGGAGAGGGATTGGGAAGGGGAAGGATTGGGCCTCCGGTAACCTCACTCACACGGCGAAACACAACACTGTGGTTGTTTCACGCCGGTTTTCTGTGAGGCCGTGGTATCACTCCGGTCGAGCCGACCCATTCATGCCGAAGCATGGCTCTCCCACACTTAAAACACAAAAAATCTTGTTAACGGCCTTAAAATTTGTTGAATTTGCTATTGCTCTTTGTATGTTCAAGAAAATTGTATTCTAGAATAAGCCCTAGTTCTATTGCTAACTAGACTGCGATTTCAACTGTTACTTTAAAACGAAAACCTACGTTAATGTGGCCATCACAGATGGGACTTAACATGGCCAAAGCTTAACCATAAACTGCTCCTGGAGCAGAAGAAGGAACTGGAGAGTTTTTACTCAGTAGGAGTCTGACACTCCCTCTCACCATACCCTGAGTGAGTGGAGTCATTTGATGACTTTTCGCAAAAAAGTGGAAATTCTGTTTTTAACCTATAAACGTATTCATTGTAAAGAAATCTTTATTTAATGAGATCCTGAATGTGCTACAAAATAATTTAGAACTTTATAATACGATAGCAACAAAGATCATACTTATTGTCATTACATCTAGCACAACGACATCAGAGAAATCACAAGCGACGTTGCCAGTTGGCTGCCCGTAAAATTGTAATCAGTAAACTGCTTATACGGCAACACCAATGGCACGCGAGTTCACGCGATCCTATTGTTTCTAATCCCTGCACTAGAATACGAGTAAGTGCGAAAACACTTTTCTTCGGTTATACGCGTTGAGAAATCGTTGTTGGACTGCACGGTTGGCGCGGTGACTGGGCAACAGGCTGTTATAGCGGAGCGTGTCGCGGGTTTGATTCCCGCACGGAACATCCTTTCATCCACAAATAATATTATGGGGTCTGGGTGTCATGTTTTTGTGGATTTTTATGCTTGTAAATGCACCCACGATGCAGGAGAAAACCTACTTACCTTTAAAATTGTAACACAAGATACTAAGCAAAAATTGATCATTCCATTAAAATAATTATTACTTCGATGACCAAGTATGTGATCAAGTATCCAACCCCAAATAGCTAATTCATAAAAGATGTACCAGTTGTTCATTTATAGGCGGCGCCGATTACTTACCATCAAGTTTGCTCATTTGACTACGGTATCTAATAAAAAACTCTCTTTTTTAAATAACTTCGCTTTGCTCTAGGATTTTGTCAGATCACACCACACCATATCCAGACCCGACACAAAGTTGTTCCGTGCGAGAATGAAATCCACGACAAGTTGCACGGCTGCCGGTTGCCGTGGAGTTATTATTTTACATTAATTACCTATCTTATTAGGTCGCCAATCCACTGTTTTTAAGTAGTTTTTTGTGTTCGAAACTTTAATGTTGACTAACAAGAACAGATAACTATAAAAATCATAGCGTAACATCAAAATAGTGATATAATGTTACCATTTCAATAAAAGCAATCAAAATGCGCGGTCCGGCCACTGGCCACATCCGGAACATTAATAACATAAAAAATAATGAACATGTCAAATGTTAATTGATATTAAGGCCCCGGGGTACTCCGATGACTTTCTTAGATTTTATCTATAACGATGGTACAGTCATCTTGGCTTCATGAAGTTTTGGTTACACTACTGAGTCAGTCAAAGAATTGGATATTTTCTTTATTTAAAATTACATTACTTTAAGTTTTCAGAATAATAAAATATTAAAAAATATATAATCTTAATTGTATGCTTTAATTCGACATAAATTGACGAAAATGATTGTGGTATGATGAATGATATCACCGATCCGCTGGAGCAAGCGTGGTGATTTATGCTCAAACCTTCTTTGTGTGAGAAGTTGCCTTTGCTCAGCAATAGGCACTTAGAGCCTCATGACGACGACGACGACGACGAATCATAAAATTACTAAGTATTTGCAGCCAATTGGACCTCTTCCTTCAGAATGCTATAATCACATTTTTTCTATAGTGTGAGTTCCACAGTGTAAAAAATTGGTTAGAAGTTGTAATATGTGAAAAAATAATTTAAGAGCTTCTCCGAACATAGAACCACGATACCCGAAAATTCGAATGAATTGTTTCTCAAATAAATACATAGTTTTTTTAA